AGTCGTCCGATCATTGTCTTTTTAGAACAATTACATGGGCGAATCTGGGTCATTCATCGCGATTGATCTCATTCGTCCGATCATACCTCAGGAGGGAATGCATATGAGCCGTTAACACGCATGGAATTAAATCTGGGTCATCGGATCACTGGGCATGCGGATCGCCCGCGTGGCCTCCTGCATCGCACCGATGTCAGCGTGTTTTCCCACTCAGCGTGCTCTGATTCACCGTGGCTGCTGACTAGGTCATCCAACGTGGCTGAATTTCCCTTTTGTGCATTTTGACCCTCTTTATTTCTAATTTTTTTTAAAAAAATACCCATCGAACTCAATTTTTCACCATTCTTCTCAAAAATTACTTTCAATTACATTCATAACCCATTTTCTCAAATAATTTAATAAAATAAAATTAAAATAATGTTTTTATTTATTTTTATAAAGACAAAAATTGATTCTATGCTAAATTTCGAGCCCAAGTATTACAACTCTCTCTCCCTTAAGAAAAAATTTGGTCCTTCAAACTTGTCACCCTCTCACTTAGTTAAACAGTTGGGGATGAGCTCTGAAGTCCGATTCTAACTCCCATGTAGCCTTTTTCTGTGTGTGATTATGCCATAAGACCTTGACAAAAGAAATTTTTTTAGTGCGGAGTACTTTGCTTTTTTGATCTACAATAACCATTGGTACCTTCTCATAGGATAGATCCTTTTAGAGTGAAAAAGGCTCATGGGATAAGATGTGTGACGGGTCTCGGTTGTACTTGCATAGCATAGATACATAAAATACATTATGAACCCTGAATAGTTCTGGAGGTAATGTCAGTCTGTAGACAGTCATACCAATCATGTCTAAGATCTCAAATGGCCCAATGAATTGGGGATTTAATTTTCCCATCTTGCCAAACTTATTAATTTTCTTGAAAGGGGTGACCTTAATAAATACTCTATTACCTTTCTCAAATTTCAAATCCCTCCTCCGGGTGTCCGCATAACTCTTCTGTCTACTCTGAGCTATGGATGTTCTTCCTGATATTAACTATCTTGATTGTAGTCTCTTCTACAAGATCTGGACCGAACGATTTCTTATCATCTACCTTTTCCCAACAGATCAGTGACCTGCAAGAATGGTCATACCATGCCTCGTATCGGGCCATGTCGATACTTGTCTGGTAGCTGTTATTGTAGGCGAACTCTATTAAAGATAGGTGATCATCCAAATGGCCCCCAAAGTCCAGAACGCAAGCTCATAGCATATCCTCCAGTGTATGGATCGTCCTCTCTGATTGTCCATCGGTTTGAGGGTGGAATGCGGTACTAAGGGACAGCTTCGTTCCCATGACTTACTAAAAACTATATCAAAACTGAGAAGTGAATCTAGAGTCTTTATTGGATACCACTGTCACTAGAACTCCAAGTAACTTGACTATCTTCTATATATATATTTTTGCTAACTTGTCTAAGGGATCGGTCATTTTGATAGCCAAAAAGTAAGAGGACTTGATGAGGCGGTCGATAATTACCCAGATAACATCATATCCCAAGTGTGCCTTGGGCAACCCCGTCACGAACTCAATTGTGATATGTTTTCACTTCCACTCGAGGATCCATAATGGCTGAAATAACCTGTTGATACTCTACCTTAACCTGTTGATATAGCAAACACTTGGAGACAAAGTCGACTATCTCTCTTTTCATTCCACTTCACCAAAACTGGTGTCACATACTTTGATACATTTTAGTAATTCCGGAATGTATGGTGAACTTTGAGCTATGAGTCTCTGTCATGATGTCCTTTTTTAGTTTATTGTTATCTGGAACACACACCATGTCTTAAAATTTGAGCTATGAGCATCGTCACGATGTCCCTTTTTAGTTCATTGTTATCTAGAACACACACCCTGTCCTGAAACCTAAGCAACCCATCGGTAAAGACTTAAAATTCTGGATTTACTCCCTATTCTGCATCCTTCTTGAGAGTTGTTATGGTGGAATCGGTTAATTGAACTTTATTTATTTTTCGGATTAATTCAGGTTGGACAGTTAGGTGGGCCGAGCATGTAACTCTCTTCAAGTCCTGAAGTTGTATATGTTGTGCGACCTCTATTACCCTGCATTCAGAAACCATTATGTGAGCTGACATACATGTATTTTTTCTGCTGAGCGCATCGGCTACAATGTTGCCATTGACTGGGTGATACAAAATATTATAATCGTAGTCCTTGAGGAGCTCTGTCCAATACCTCTGATGCATGTTGAGATCATTCTAAGTGAATATGTTCTTCAAGCTCTTATGATCAGTATAAATCTCAAAAATCTCTCCATACAAGTAGTGGCGTCAGGTCTTCAAGGCGTAGATAATGGTAGTAAGTTATAAGTCGTGAGTGAGATAATTTTTCTCATGACTCTTCAACTGTCTGTACTCATAGGCTATGAAATTTTCATGCTACATCAAAATGCAACACAACCCTATGTAGGAGGTATCACTATATACTGTATATCCACATGTCCCACTCGATAAAACCAACACAGGTGCAGTAGTCAACCGTTTCTTGAGTTCTATAAAGCTCATTTTGCAATTCTCATTCTATTCAAACTTAATTTCTTCTTTGTTAGGGGGTCAAAGGAGCAGCTAGGATAGAGAATCATTCCAAAAACATACGGTAATATCCTGTCATTCACAGAAAGTTACGAATCTCCTTAATCGATGTCAATTTCTCTCAACCAAGTACTGCCTCAACTTTTTTGGGGTTCATTGATACTCTATCCATTGATATGATGTGCCTTAGAAAGGTAGTCTACTCGAGCCAGAACCCATGCTCAATTTTGCATACAGTTTCTTCTCCTTAAGAACTTGCAAAACCTAAGTGGTGAACGTGTTTCTCTCTGCTATTTGAATATACCAGGATATCATCGATAAACACAATGACGAATTGATCCACGAATTGTCTGAAAATCCTGTCCATCAAATCCATAAAAATGGTTAGTGCATGATAAGTCCAAATTGCATGATCAGGAACTCATAGTATCCGTACATAGTTCTGAACGCTATATTGGGAATGTCCTCTACCCTAATCTTTACCTGATAGTAACCCAAATGCAAGTTTATTTTGGCAAAGATCTGGACACCCTACAACTGATCAAAGATGTCATCAATCCTGAGGAAGGGGTACTTGTTCTTGATCGTGACTCTGTTCAATCATCTATAGTCAATACATAATCTTAACATCTCATCCTCTTTCCTTGCAAATGTGACTCCAGCACCTCAAAGAGACAAACT